GAGCAATAAGCCGTTTGGAAGTCTGAAAGTCCAATTTGAGTACTGAATTTGAAATCGAATATTTGGATTCTAGTCGAGGTGGGGGAATTCCATGCAACAAATTTCATGTTTAAATGCGAAGCGCGGGCCGCAAGTAGGAAGAAAAGCCTCGTTTTCGGCGATGTACGAACGTTAAAATTCAAGCTCCCGTATGCAATTCACCCGTGCGTTCCTCAAATCAAACTTTAGCATTGCGTGCTACCCAGCATTTCCGGTTTAGGGCAATCGAAATAACACTTTTTTCCGACTCGAATTCCGGACAAGCAAGGTATCTTTGGAAAAATACTTCGGCGCTTTTCTATTTGTAGAAATATGAAAATAAAAAGTACCTCCATGTGCTCGCTTAGTTATGGGACAGCTGGATGTGTGGGAAACCCATGAATGATGCTGACTATTTACTAGGCGTCAGTAAAAATTTCAGTCGTCACCTGATCCTCGGCTCCACTGTTTGATCCACTTTTTAACCGAGCGTTGAGACTTTAGGATATAAAAACCATCGAATATAGGGAGCAAATTCAGTTCTTCTGGATGACAGCCTAATTTATGCGTGAAAAATAATGTTTGTAAGGATTCTCAAACCCCGTATTCACTACCTACTGAAGCAAGTTCATTCAGGGAACAGTCGTCAGGAGAGTTTTGTCTCTAATGTGACATCGTCTTCCATCGGAAATGAATTGTCATGAAAAGAATTACTAGCATTCTATTCTCATCGTCAAATAAATAACAATTTTGTTTCTCCTAAGAATGCTTCAGTGCGGCATTTCCACAGTTCATCTGGAGAAAAGTAAGCCCACTTTTTATCATTTGGCGAATGAACCCACTTAATGTGCAATTCTTTAAATAAAAAATAATGTTTAACTACTTTCTATGTGCAATTGGACACAGCTACACAAGTGACATGACAAAACTTCCAAATATTGTTTAACATACTGCTCGTGACTCTTGTTTGTCTCGCTCATTTGCATTTAGAGTTTTATTTCAGTTAGTTTGTCATTTTAAATCCACATCTTAGCTAACTAGCCTTTATAAACTCCTGTGAAACTAACTTTCGAACTTGAGTTTTTAGCTAGTAACCGTACCGCGGGTATGATAAACCAGGTAGCGTTTCTATACTACTGACTACTTGTAAGCAGGATGGGAATATTACAAGGTTATTCCATAAAAACTGATGAACTTCAAATCGAATATTTGAATCAACTGTCGAACCGAACCTGAGAATATTTGAAGAGAAATTAATTTAAAGTTCATTCGTTAATCTCCGAGAATATTAAAAAAAACTTCATATTCAGAAGTGGAATATGTACCAAAAAAGGCATGGAAAACGTTATGGGACCCACTGATGAACCGAGCTTCTCACAGCTCCGTCAGGCAACATCAAAAAATCGCATCTAACCTTTTGACTAGTGTCTGTGCTGCACAATTTAAAGCGGTCTGCTCTTTCTTATTCCCGCGTCACACTGTGTAGGTTATTCGGAATGTAACGCTTTATTGAACATACAACGCATGCACATGTTGGTCTGCTAAACACGGAACTGCAGCAAGGACTTAGGTTCTATCGAGACTTACCACATTTCTATCTATTAACAGAGACACATGGTGTTGTCTCGTAGAAGACTGCAATAAGTATTTGAATATTGGAGTCAACAATATTTGTTTACTGAAGAAAGAAATAAGATACTTGGCAGTATTCAAGTAAAAAAGACCCTAAGTCGAATAGATGGCAGAAGTTGAAAACCCTGCTTACACTAGGGTGATGAATGTGCATTCAAACTGATGCCCGAGGCAATGTGCAAGGGCTATTAACAGCTGACACAGGCGAGGTCAAGTCAGCGAAACCACGATATTCCTAGATTATGTTGAGCAGGCAAAGTTATTGGAGGCAACATTATGGGAATCCGTTTCTCACTCAGGTTATCTCAGTGTAAAGCATCCACAAACCCGTAGCAATGAGCTAATAAATGGACGGAGAGGAAACTCAGTCATGGATAAGAGAAACCATAAGGGCGTAAGGTTCTCTAAAAACGAACTCCTAGAAGCGCTTAAAGTAGGATAAGTTGGACAGATCAGCACTGCATATGGCGAAAAGGTGGGCGTTTTCTCTCGTCTGAAGAACCAATGGTTATGGTCGAAGATGGAAAGACTACTTTAAAGGAACTGCTGAGATCAGCCTGCACAAAACCATACGCATAAAAACGGGAAATAAGATCGCAAGATCACGAGAAACAGTCAACTGTTTTGTTTTGGACAATAAGGAAGATCCCTCAACTTATTTGCGTTAGTCAACGTAGCGATTTGAATGAAAACCCTTATGCGGGGGCATTATACTTGGCTTACTGTCTTCGAAAGACGCGATTTATCGAATGCGTAGATTACAATCTTTTAATAATCCTGCAGCACTTGCTTTAGGCGATTATACTCTTCTGCAAAGAATAAGTAATCAAGCTGTTTGACATAAAATGCTTAGCTAAGTTTGGACCTGGACTTCTCAATCACTAGATGGCTAGTGGTAATTTAGGACGGATAACGAAAATATCGAAGCATTGCCGTTAGAGTTTCCACTTATGGAACCATCGGCTGACCATAACGCTGTTCATACGAGTACTAAAATGCAAAATATTTACCCCAATAATATATAAAGAAAATAACAGGCGGCTATCTGACGGATAGATCAGAAGATATCTAATTTACGACGTGCGAAACTCGGGTGATTTGGTGAGGAATTCGCTTAAATAAGTTGCCAAAGTACGAACCTTCACGAACCATTGTATGTAGTCTTCCATGGCAGTTTGCTAGCTAAAATATACGAATTTTGGATCACAAAACCGAAGTCTTCATTCTGCTTGGGGAACACGCGGGTTAACGGTGCAACAGTGCAGGATTCTCAGTCTTAACTTTGGGCGCGTAATCGGACATAAGATGCCAAATTAAAAATAAAACGAACCACAGATACGCCCACGCAAAAATAGGGATTCTCCATAACGAGCGAAATCGCTGAGCGATTTTTTGCATAAACTTCCCCATGTAGCGACAAAACGCAGTTAGTGATGAGGTTTTATCGGAACTCTATTTGTGAAAATTTTTCTTTGAACTCGCTGAAATATGGCGTCACTTTTTCAAAAATGGTTGACTTCAAACGCACAGAACCGACAGGTTCTTACCAGCGTTCGGCCGAGCAGTTATTTATAGAATTCGGGAAGGACGGTTGTCCAGAGGTTATCGGACGACACTTCCGCTTTGCTGTCCTCGTGGACAGCAGAAAAATCCACCTATGCATGACATTTGAAGAGCCGACATACAATTAAGGCTTCTGGCGTCATGAGGAACCATTCAAGGCAGGGTGAGCGCCGGTGCCGATACTAAAAAAGAGATAAAAGATGAAGTAAACTCTTATTCAAAGAAGAGCCGAACAAAACAATGCAACATCATATTTTATCATACAAAGAAGAACGCTATCCGCACAGACATTAAGCTTCCATCGTTGGCTTCCCGCCTATAAAAACCTCGAAGATTTGGGCCTGGTTCAAACTTCCAAAAGAAACAGCAAGTTGGTGGTAAAGCATTTGTTGTGTTGAAGCCTTACTATTTCTGTAATGGAGTCGAGACTTGCGGAGGTAACGGAATATTTCACAAACATGAAGTTAGTTAAAATTATTCAAATATGCCGAAAAAAACCGAACAAGTTGTCTGTTCTTCTTTCCATTAACCGCTTTAAACTTCGATCGTCCACAAATGTTTGAGTTACTTTCTGGAGGTCCAGTTTCAGTGCAAAAACGGTACGTAAAGTGCGGTCAGAGAAAGATTCGATAGTGTTCGACAGTAATAAGTTTCCTATGGGAAAGACTGCTGACTTACGCTTCATTTGCGCTACATAGAAAAGGACTTCTATTGCATAACTCTCACGCTGTCTTGTTAGGTATATCGGTTCCAGTAACAAAAGGATTGGAAAATAGAAGGGACCTTATGTCTGACTTGATATAAATCTCCCCTCAAATGGTCGTGGTAGGACTGCTTCTTTAGCAAAACTACCCGACCTTCACAGATTCGTGTACCCCTAATAGTTTTGACTTAAGTAGACAAACTCCATCACTGTCCGGCTCTCACTTAAAACAGCCATTTTATCGTGCAGTAATCAACTATCTCATTCATAACTTTGCGTATAATGATCTTTCAATGTGCGACCGTTGCAACAGTGTGAGAGGCCGCACAGGTTGTCCCCACATGATTCGAGTCTATCGGATATGAAGTCTAATGCAACGGTTAATCAACCATCCGTCGCTCTTCCATCATATGAGTAGCACATACGTGCTGATTCCAGATATCGACCTCGCTCGATCATCTGTTAAATGAAGAGGGTGTGTGCTTCTACAAGCTTGACGCCAAAGACCATCCACCCAGGTAACATTTAACCAGGTGACTGTTCATGCGTTCTGTACTTTGAAGAGAACCAGTTTTGCTTGACGAAAAATTCGTGATTTGGAAGTCATTTGGTTTATACTGGGAGAGGCGTCATCCTTGCTCTATCTTCGTGTCTTTGTCGGGGTATAGTGGCAAGGCTGGGCCAAAAAAGGGGAAATGACATAGGGTGCCTCTATTGCTACACAAGCGCTGATGCCTCCGTCAAAACGAATCACGCTTCACTTATTCTGAAGTGAAATCATCAAGGATGAACATAATGTCGTCATAAAAATGTTACCTCAACCTGGCTCTCATTCATGAGGACAAGTCAGTTAAAATGACAACTTTTAAAGCTACAGCATTATGACAAATCGGAAGCTTAAAAATGCATGCAATAGATTATAATAATGAAATGTAGTTTGTTTTAAGCGATACGATTTGCTCAGAAGAAGAAGAAGATGCGATCAGTGGAACAAGACGTTTATTGACCTGACGTTTCAGATCTCCACTCGAACCCATAATCTGCAGCTGTCTCTGATGATGGGTTCGAGTGAGGATCCAAAACGTCAAGCCAATAAACTTCTTGTTCCACTGATCGCTTCTTTTTCATCATCATCATCATCATCATCATCATCATCATCATCATCATCATCATCATCATCATCATCATCATCATCATCATCATCATCATCATCATCATCATCATCATCATCATCATCATCATCATCTTCTTCTTCTTCTTCTTCTTCTTCTTCTTCTTCTTCTTCATCTTCTGAACGGCTTTCTGAAACCTACCTGTTCGCTTCTACCGGATATGTTTTGTATCCACACGAGTTTTGAAGTCTCCAACAGGAGTGATATTGTCTACTTCCGAAGTAGAAACAATTAGGATGTGCATTTGTTCTTAGAAATGTCTCCCTCACATATTGGTAGTCTGACCTTGTAGGACATACCTGTCAGTATTTGTGGCAAAGTTCCTTTCATGGAATGGCATTCTAAGTTTTACAGGTCAGGTGTTCATTCCGTTCTTTTTTGTCGACTGACCGTCGAGACATCTAAAGGAAAGTGGGAAGCCAAGGCAGCTAGAATAACAAACATTAGCATTTTGGCAGAAGTATGGGGGTCTCTTGAGAGAAATCACGACCAGATGACGGAAAGGTTATGTAGCTCAACTTCGAGGCAACTTTCCAACCTATTCCCATTGAGTGGGTCTATATTATTCAACTGAGCAGGGTTCCTTCATGACATAGAGCTAGCAGCCAAATTCAACGACCGCTCGCCGACTTTCAGTGAGCAAGCTAGGTCATCTATAGATGGAGAGGTAACTCTCAACCTAAAGACCTGGGGATTGCCGTTCTTCGCGATTGAGGTGACTGTGATGAAGATGACTCGTAAGAATTCGATTCAGATCTGAAGGGCTTGCGCGGCACTAGTATCCCTCCATCTCTCTCTCACTTCCCAATCTAATCTTTATCTCGGGAAAGATTAAATTCAGAAGGTTGGCAATGAAGAAGAACGTTGCGGCAGACCTGGAGAAATGCACATAAATTGCTGCCCGCTTATGACAGACTTCACTGCGTCCCCTGTCTGATATAAAATAAGAGCCTTTTCGTATGTACAGATCTGAACCAACAACAATTCCACGAACGAAATATGAGCACCTCTTGCTGTTCATTGTCTCCGTCTAAACTACAAAAGCACCGACAGTTCGATCGCCATTGTCGACGATGTCCACCGTATGCTCCACAGCAGGATGAGAGCAGGCACGGTGACTTGTACGTGAGTTGGTTTATAGTGGTAGTCGACTTGCACCTCTACCCACAGAATGAACAGAAGGAGAGGGCCTCAGTGTTCTGACGCGGCCAATTTGATATACAGTGGATGGGTTTACTCATGAAATTTCAACCGAAATTTCGAAATGCGTTCTGGTTTCGAAAAAATTAATTAAGTAGGGCTGTAAAACTAGTCCTCGTGCAGCATAATGATATAATGATCCAGCTACCACAGGGTGTCAGCTTTCGAATTAATTTATTTCCGACTGCATGCAATAACTATGCTCTGAAAAACGGACTACTTAAGTAGCATACAATTTTCCCACTGATTTTCAATGCCCTTAAATATTAAATTATATTTCACGGAAAACATGCCTAAACTATTCATTCTTTTATTTGTTCGGCAGAAAATCACGTCTTTTTCCAATTTTATACTCTAAAGAAGGGTATAGTTCGGTTTCAAAAAAGTTTCTGCATGAGAATTAGCTATACAACCCTACTTAATTAATCTTTTCGATACGAGAACGCATTTTGAAATTTCGGTTGACATTTCATGACTTAGCCTACTTACTGTAACGTTGGGTAATCTCCGGAAAAGAGATTTCAGGCGGAGCGCAAGTGCAGTGAAACGAATCGATAGAATGTGGAAGCGAAAGTAAACGAGAGAAATCGGATAAAAGTGAACTGCAGGTGTAGACCGAGAAGCATATGAGATGCATGACTAAAAGCCCAAAAACGGATATCGTCAGGAAATGTGCAGACTATCTTTAATCAGCGTAGCTGAATTTCATATCTGCTCGGTCGAAATAGATTGGCTAATATGCACCACAGAGGCCTCGTAATGACAAAAAAATGGAGGTTGCATGATGTTGTCGACCAATAAAAATCAGAGATTATCAAATCTAACAGATCACCCCTCAAGATGGCGTCCTTCTGCTAAAACAGCGTGAAAAACAAACAAAGTTAAAAAATTCATATTGGCTCAACCATGAAAAACTCGGCTCCTCGGTGGCATTCGAACCCACGGCGGTAAGGTGAAGGTTTTAGTACAGCCAACGCTCTAACCACCTGAACTAGGAGGCCCCGCTGGCCGACGCGAGTTCAATCACATCTAATAACGCTGAAATTGTGGCTTTTTAACAAGTATGCACACGTGCACAGCCAATGATGAAATTACAGATTTGTTGAGTAAGCAGAACAGGCTCAGGGGTTTAGAAGAAGGATATTTAACGTGAACGGGGCTTGCAAATCCCCAACTGATGGAAAACCAAAATAGCCATTACTCTGCCAAAACAGAAAAAACTCGAACAGTTAGATTCGCTGTAGAAAATCGGGTGTATCTATTTAAGTGCGCGGACCTTCGTTTACTAACTTGTTAAATTGTTCTGCAGTTTTGCAGACAGCATAGTTTTTAAAGGTAACCATTCGTTCCGGATGCCATTGAAGCGGAGAGCCATTGTGCAGAAAGTAACTAATGTAGAATCCAGGAAACCGCGCATTTTACTCCTGATCCTATTGTGACTGAATACAGGACAGTAGGCAGTTCGGCCATCGAGGCCTATTCGACACCACGCTAATATTCAATTCAAAGCCATGTGGATTGTAAGGAAGCATAGTCTGAAATATTAGTGTTATTGATACATCTCAGCCATCGCTTCATGTTATTTGAAGTGTTGTCACTCTTAGATGGTAAGGGTATTACAGTGGACCTTTCCGAGACTGATTATTCCGCCAATGTTGGCCGTAAGTTATTGCTGTACTTTTGGATAGAACGTGTTGGATAGCAAAATTTAGGCAAGGTTGATCCGAGACAACTAATTTTCAAATCTAGTGTCTCAATACAGCGAATATTTCTTACTCTTTGGAAGCGAGTGTACATATGGTTTCGTTTCCGTTCTATAGGTACAAAGCTCAGGAAATGTAGGTATTGACCTTCACATGTATCCTTATGGAAGACCGATCGTCTTACTGAACTATCTTCCTGTCTTTTCATGAGGAAGTCCAGGAGGGATCGCTTGTTGCGCTGCCGCTTTTCAAATGTGAATTTAATCTTTGGATGGAGATTATTTATAGCAATAAATGGTCTTTATCTTTCTAGTTGGTATCGAAAATTATGTGTATATCCTCCCGATATCTTCTGTATGGTATTTTCATGTTCACTTTGCTCCTCTTTATGACACAATACGTGAAAATGACTTTTATAAAGATTTAACCTAAGGTATCAATTTAACTAATGGAAAAATGTGCACGTTTACGAATATGCGAAAATTGCATTTCAGACATTAACACAGTTAGTGGAAAAGTGGGTACGTCTACAGAGAAGGCTACCACGGATGGTCATGTCAGTTTCCTGTCTCAACAAAACCATTGAAACAAATGCATGTAGTCTGACGTAATCCTTTTTTTAATTGGAAGAGTTAGGAGTATTTGCCTTGAGACAATCGAGTTTTAGACTTCCTGTTAACGTAAGCCAGTTGACAATGGAAGAGAAGTGGACTTTGTTCAAGAAATTCAGTCGAATTCGCGTAAGAATTCTCAACTGCTTGGATGTCTTATGCCTCAAAGCACAGTAGTAAAACAAGTCAAAGTTCGGTTAAAACTCATTTTAAGCACATAATTTGAAGGCATGAGCGGAAAGCAGTGCAGCATATGCCGCTAGAGAGCAGTTGTGTTAACAGATGGGCCACAGTGTGACAAATAATGTATTTCGAGACAGTCCCCGGAAATATGCAGAGATGAAAAGGACATATAAGCGTGACGCCGAGATTATTTTCCTGAGGCATATGTAATCTCATCGTGTGCCTCGCTGGCATATGTGAGGGAAGTCTCTGGCCATGCTTCCTCATGCTCTGACTGACGAAAAGTTAAGAAAGTCAGCTTGCATTAGATAAACGAAATGGGAAAATATTTTCATGCAGATTTGCGAGATGATTTTTGCAGTTGCTCATGAGTGTATGAAAATAAGGGCTTCGGTTTTGCCCTTCATATCCTTCTGCAGTGCATATTTAAGCCAACTGTCGGAAGGCAGGTAATCCTCTCCAAGTAAATGTTTCCAATAAACCGCTCCATTGGAGTCAAACAGAGTGCGATCGGCCAAGAAGAGTAGCTACAAAACGTTAACAGATTTTCTTCAGGATTCATTCGAC